GAAGAAGTGTCTGCAAATATTTATATAATGTTTGATGTCGTGTGTTCGATTCACATAAAAGCGATTTCAAATATCCTGAAATGTCCTTCATCAGATTAAAGTTTTATTACGCAATCTTCGCTTCCGGCATTGTGTCATTTGTTAACTCGCTTCCTGGTTCCGGGTTCCTATGACAGTAGGTTGGCACGAACTTCTCAACCCAAGCCATTGGTTCAGTAGAACGCACGTCATATTTGCATTTGTGTGCTTGAAGAACGTCAGCCTCAACACAAGAACCAACTGTTATTATCAAAATAGACCCCCCAAGATTCTATCAATTCATCACACTGGTATAGGAGTAAGCACTCTAGATGCAATCGGAAGATTTCATTCATTCAAAATGGTTCTACGGCCCTTTGTTGGGGCCTGGCCTCTTCTTCAGTTTCGTAATCTACGGTAGAGCTCCTTGGACGAGGGATCATAAGGCCTCTACCTAAACACAGGACAACACAAACAGAGAATAAACGCAGACACAGATATCCATGCCTTGAGTGGGATTCGAACACAAGATCCAAGCGTTCGGGCAAGCGAAAACTGTTCATGCCTTAAACCGTGTGGCCATTGTGATCAGAAGTAATGGATTTTAGTCTACAACAAACGATTATCTAGGGTAATGGGCTATACAAAGTATAAAGTAATATATTCGAAAATACTCCACTGGAATACGTTAAATACATGATACGTATGTTCATAAAAGAGCTAATGAAATCGTAAAATAAAATACTGTGGATGATTATCAGTCTTCTACAACTTCGATCCAGCTATCATTTTGTCAAAAAATCATAGCCTTACCAAAGCAAGAACAAAGATTTTTTTTCCAAGAAGCGTATTTTTTAAATTATTTTAATTTCAGTGTTATATTCGTCATTAACGGAATTTATAATTTTCGGACCTTCACTCTCCAGCTAGTATCGCCTATGGAACGCGAAGCATCGTTCAAGAGAATCTACTTTACAACAGACATCTCCCTTAATCAGTTTCTGTCATCACTACACCAGAATTAAAATCTTGTTGCCTGGTAAAATAACCTTCAGCAACAAGCCCTCAGAAATTTATTTAAAAGTATTTAATAATATTTCTAATCTTTGATAATTTTTAAAAAAATTACAAGCTTAGTTTGTCATCCTTTACGATGATTCGAAAGAAATTTTAATTCTGTTTCCAAGAAATGGTAAACACCTTCGGTTCCTGCCCACTTGCATCTCATGAAGACATTACGAATGAAATAACAAGAAATCTTCCACAGTTCTGTGACGCAATAATAATTCATAGCTGCTAGAATATTAGAATTTCTGTTTATCAACGAAGTGGGTCTCTCCAGCCAGTCAGAACACTTCATATAAATGTGAAAGGACTTTACTGTGATAAGCTATGCTGATCTTCATCTACAACACGCGATGCTGGCAGTTAACGCGCCCTGCTCCACTTAGATATTGCCTTGGGGTTGAACGAACTCAGAGGGGGTGAAATACTACAGAATTCGTTGTAGGTTATTTCTGAGTAGCCCTACATTATTTCAGGTGGCGAAAAGTATTGTGCATAAGGAATCTGAAAGATTGAAGTTATATGTTATAAGGTAAAATATTGTAAAACCGCTCATATGTGTGAACACATAGTTTCAGGTGTAAAAGAGTTTAAACATTTAAGGAATTCTTTTAGAAGAGATGGAATAATTTATAATTGTTCATACTTCTTAATACACAACTTAAGGTATCGAATTTTGTAATATTGTTTCAGGGGTGTGGAAACTTCCGAAAATTTCTAAGGGTCACTCGAAATTCAGAACATTTTTAGAAGCTTGTCGTTGCCACAAATGTTCAGGGCGATAAGTAATACCTGAATTATTTAACGATTATCTTTCAATACGTGGTGTCAATTGTGATTGGACGATGATCGTTATTAGTGCGTAGGTGAGGATTTAGAAGGAAGCTGAAGTTGTCTATTGAACGTATTATGTTGGAATTCTCCTGTGGGTACTAAGAAAAACAACGAAGTCTTCAGTAAACTTTGTCGATACCCCAGCCGATAATTGAATCGGGTATCTTCCAAATACAGGTCTAGACTATTACTGAGTTGTCATATGGCTTGGGCACCAGGACGACAGGAATAGGAGCGTCCTTCAATAAAATGTAGCTGTGCGAAGGAACAACATTCATGTCATTAGCATGTTTGATTTTAAGTCCAGGAAATAAAATGCAACATGCATTACAGTAGGACTCTCCTACAACGGAACTTCAATTAAAGGAAATCCTGCCTTCATCAGAAACAGTTATCTTATCCCGAGAGGAAAAAATTAAACCTATTTATTATTGTCTGGAATAAAAGTCAGATTTCAATACGGGAACACGCATAAAATAGAATGGGGGTTGCTTCAATATTTGTTATTTTCATTCATTCATCAGTAATCTGTCAGACGACAGGTCCACAGTCTCTTCCAAAACAGTTCCTCCATTTAATGCGATCTAGAGCTTTCTCCTTCAAATGAGAGTATCCTTAAGGTCATCCAGCATCTTCTTACGTCTTCTTCCTCGTCTTCTTGTCACTTCTATCCGCCCCTCTATCTTTCCTTCGATAGCTTCTTTTAGGAGGCAGCTACAAGGTAAGATATGACCCATCCAATTAGCCTTCCATTTTCTTATTTCATGTATGATATTCCTCTGCTCAGTGACTCTATTTTATGTCCATAAAATTTTGTTCCGTACTGCGATTTCTGGACTTAATGTGAGAGTGGCATAAACGAAGTACTGAAGAAGTAATAAGTAAGGAATCAGCGTGTTGAGCAATTGTGACTTATTTCCCAGGATGAAAGGTAATTTTACATTTAAAGAGCAACAAAGTTTTCCCCCAAATTTCCTTTTAAATAAGTAATATCAGCACAAATTTGGTCACCCACTCGCCAATTTGTTTACGTTTTATTTAAGAATCTGGATTTATATATTTGAGGCTTCAAGTTCGAATCCCGGATGAGACACATGATGTCTTAAGATTCCTCCCGATATTCCTCTATCCGTAAAAGTGAAATCCATTGGCGTCTGAAAATAAATAAAGACTTGGATGCCTCAGTTACTATTGTGACTGAGCTACGGCCTGGACGATCGGACAATCGAGGTTCGGTTCTCAGCCGTGGCAGAGATATTTCTTTGTCGTTGCCGGAAGTTGAACTTTTGAAAATCTATCCCAGTAATTAAACTAGCCTTTTGATGAAGCTAATTATTCATTTTTTATCTATTACTGAGGTTAAGAATGCATTGAACTAAACCTCCACTCCCCAATTCGTCTTCATGTCATGGCGCTTAATTAAATCCAGGGACAAGTTTAGTTTTTTACCTTAACAGTTTCTCCTGATTAATTAGTTATTCATATTTATCCTTATATAGCCTAGGAGAGACAGTGCCCTCAAACAGCCTACGACTCCATCTACTGAACAGGTAGCGTTAAATCTCTCAATAAATTATGTTCTCAGGCCGTTGGCTGTAGGCTTTGTAATTTTCGGCCCTCGTCACACACCCGTACAGTACGTGTATACTTTGAAACTGACCATGATGCCTTTTTATCACGCAGTCCATAGGTTACACCGCCACGGCAGAACTGAAGTTAAATGAATGTCGATAGGTACCTTAGGAATCGAACAGAAATCGAGAATCAGTGCGGGCGATAGGCACTTATCGAAAATGGCCCACGAAGCTGCAAAAAAAAAAAACGCTGAAAGATATATATAACCTAAAAAGCGCGGTATATTTGTTTCGCAAGACAAAGCTCCTACAAATGAGTCCCGAATCGTGTTTCCCAGATTGCTACTTCCTGCACTCATCAAAACAAATGCTGAATTAATGTATTTAAGCACGTATTCTCTTTTTCGCTCCTTCTGCTGCTCTGTGAGCGCTGCGGTCCGTGATGAATCTTGGTCTCTATTTAACAGTTTCTTAATCATATAATCGGTAGGACTCCTTTAGAGGGAGATCAGCCCGTCTCAAGGCCGCTACCTATATATAAGAACACAAACAGAGAGTAATCGTAGATAAATATCCATGCCATTTTGAGCGATCTGAACCCACGACCCCAGTGTTTTAGCGGACGAAGAAAGTTCGTGCTTTAGACCGCACGGCCACTCTGATCAGCCTTCTTCAGTTCTAGGAAATTTAATACTAAGAAGAATAACAGTACCTATTATTTCCATGGTACATCGGTATAGACTCTATATATTTTGTAATTTCCTTCTGTAAATTTTTCACCTGCTCTTTCAATCAACAATACTCGTACATAATAATACGCCTAAATTTGGTTCTAATAAAAATTCTCGGCAGTTATTACAGCGCACTATACACGTACAGTAGTGACAAATTTACCAATCAGATGATACATTACAAGTCTCTTTTCAAAACAGTAGAAAGAAACTCATTCTGACCTCTGATTAGTTGATCTGTTGGTTTGAAGTCATCATACTTTCACAGCTTATGCGCTGCAAACTTCTGCAATGACATTTCTTCCAGTTACATATATAATAGTTACAACACCGTTAGGCCGCGCCATAGCCCAAGCGGTTAGTTGCTGGCTTCCCACCGCGGCGGCTCGGGTTCGATCCCGGGTCCGGTCAAGTGGGATTTGTGGTGGACAAAGTGGCGCTGGGGCAGGTTTTCTCTGAGTACTTCGGTTTCTCCTGATAATCTTTATTACACCAATTGCTCCACAATCACCCTCACCTATCATCTGGGGCTGGTACAATAGGCCAGAAGTGGCCGCAGTACAAGGGACTTAGTCCCACCCCAATAGCAATAAAAGGAATAATAATACAACACCGTTGCCAAATCTCTAAAGCATTGTTCTTTTGAAGAGGGTATAGTTTACGTGAAGATGAATTAAAGAAGGAGGAACTTTATCTCTCACATCCTACGCTTATATTTCTTCATATACCCGTATCTGTAACTTACGATTATTAAAAAATCGAATTTCTATGGTTGCAGGTCCCGAGCCCCCTCTCGCCTCATGGAGCGCTACGAGAAACTGGGCAAGCTCGGAGAGGGCAGTTACGGCATGGTGTTCAAATGTAGGAACAGGGACACAGGCCAGATCGTCGCCATCAAAAAGTTTGTTGAGTCCGAAGATGATCCACTCATACGCAAGATCGCCCTCAGGGAGATACGCCT